CTCACTGGCTTGCTGAGGATGAGGTGAAGATACGCAGGTAGGTGCCTGGACCTGGGTCCCCTCACTGCAGGGCCGCACCCGGGCTCACAGCCACGGACACACACACACACCACACACCTGGTCTGTGCTGGGCGTCCCTAAGAGCTTTCCATGCCCCCATACCCCTGTTTTCCTGCCCTGTTCACATACATAAGACCAGAAGTGGTGCTGTGAGGTGGAGTGGAGATTCGGGGGGAGGGGACCAAAACGCTGAGGGCCTTGTTTTCTAAGCCAAGGAAATTGAGGTATATTTTTATGTCTCCACAGTGAGCTTTTACTTGGAGTCAGAATGACTTGTGTTATCGATATCCCGAAAAGCACAGCCAAGGGAAGTCCCGATTTCCTCCACAGAGAAGGTCAGTACTACTCACACAATGGCCTGGTTTCAGATGTTTGGGACGAAGTGGGAATATGTTTATTTAAAAGCAATTTTAAATATTAAAAAAAAGTAGAAATTAACACATACGGTCCTGGAAAAACTCACATTAAGTACATGTGAAATGACAAGTGTACTGATGGTGGAGTGTCACTCAGATGAGGACTCGGAAAGTAACTGGTGGCTTGATGGGTTCCTACACCTCATGTCAAAGGTTCTCGGCAATAAAAAAATAAACAGCAATTGCTGTTCAACAGGAAAATAAGACACACACTATTTGCAGAACATAACTTTCCCCTCTGGGGGAAAAAAAAATTGATTAGCTATTTTTTTTTTCATAAGGTTCCATACCTTCAAAATACTATATCATGTACAAAATTGCAGAGAGCGGCTTACTGAGCTTAAGAACAGTATCAGATTTAAACTCAACCAAGACCAGCAAAGGCATTTACACCTAGTTTTCCAATATCCCACAGTAAGCTGGGTTAGCGGAAGTCAGAATCCTGGTGGACAAAACAAGGACAAAACCTGAAAAAAGAAAAGGTAGTGAAAAATGCATTTGTGAAACTGGCTGCTAACGGGGAAAAAGAACAGACATTGATTCCATGTAATTTTAGACATCAAGGTTTTTGTATTTTTAAAAATAAACAGTTACTTTTGAGATCAGTGTAAAATACTGCAGGCCACAAAACCGGAAGCTTTTAATGTTTCGGAAAATGGGTCCTTGAATGAACAGGGACACTAAGTAACTTGGCATGGTGACTTCCTGTCCCGATACCAGGGTGGTGTACGTCCTGAGGCCACAAACATTGTCAACGACACACCGGATGTCGGCAGGTCCCCGATGTTCTTGTCCGTGTGGAATTCAGATGTGCTGGAACATTGAGGGAACAACTGCTTCAAATCACTTTGCAATAATAGTTTTTTGTATTTTAAAAATAAACAGTCAATTTTGAGATAAGTGGAAAATACGGTAGGCCATTAAACCGGACAGCTCTTTTAACGTTTCTTAAAACGTGTACTTGAACGAACCGGGACACTAAGTAACTTGGGATGGTGACTTCCTGTCCGGACACCAGTGTGGCTAAGTCCCAAGGTACAAACACTGTCGACGACACACGAGATGTCGGCCGGTTCTTGATGTTCTTGTCTGGGTGGAACTCAGATGTGCTGTGACATTGAGGGAGTAACTGCTTGAAATCATTTTGCAAGAATAGTCGGTATGTTGCAGGTTTGTCATGCAAGGTTTGTTAATTAGGTGGCTTTTCCAGCTTTTCATAGTAACCACATAAGCAGAACCAAGTGGATGTTCACATTGCATTGTGACTATTAAATCGGGATTTTCCTATGGTTTTAGGAGGACTTGTGCTCCTGTGGGATGAAGAATTCTCATTCAATGCAAGATTACCTGCTTCAAAATATTAATTTCCTGCTTCAAAGTATTAGTTTCCTGTCCTGACACCAGTGTGGCATAACTCCTTTTACTCCAAACACTGTCGGTATTAACCGGATGTCAGCTGGTCCTCGATGTTCATGGCCGGTCCTCGATGTTCACGGCCGGTCCCCGATGTTCACGGCCGGTCCTCGACGTTCATGGCCGGTCCTCAATGTTCATGGCCAGTCCTCGATGTTCTTATTTGTGTGGAACTTAGACGTGCTGTGATGTTGAGAGAGCAACTGCTTGACATCATTTTGGAATAATAGTTGGTATGTTACACGTTTGCCATGCAAGGTTGTTAATTAGGTGGCAAGGTTAGCAGAGAGGTGGGTACGTAGTGTGTG